TACCCAGCGCATAATAAAGTGAACTAGCGGAAAACTAATTTAATTATGCGGATAAATATCAAATCGTTTTCTTTTGGCATGGTGGGTTTTTGACCAGTGATTGGTTTAAATATGAAGAGTATATAGATTACTGGTTTATTACTCCAAAAAACATCGAATGGGATGTTTTAACTCCAAATACTGATATAAATGTGTCGAAATCGGATAAGGAAATGGCATGCGATTGTAAATTGTGGAAGGATTGAAAGAAAAAAAATAGAAACGTAGGAAAAATGTGTATCCATGATTAATAACAGCAATACTCTCCCTCGTGTTACCCTCACTCACTCACACCATCACATGCACGTCAAGGGAAGTGTTCAGTACACCGCGTAAGTGTTGTTCACTGGACCAGAGAGATGTTCAGCAAATCAGAGATGAGTTTAGTACTGCGCGAGACTGTTCATTTAGCCAGAAATGTGTTCACTGTGGCGCACGACTGTTCAATAAGCCACGGAGGAATGTTCACTGCTTCTCGGAGCCTCGTGTTCAACTTTGTGTTCCCACCTGAGCCTTTTTTCCTGGGCAACAAAGGGAGGTGTGGATGGTCGTGAGGCGGCCACCCCACTCACCGCCTCATTGCCTAACTCTAGAAGTGGCGGCCCCCCCCCCTTCCCCCCTCCTCCACTTCCATGACCTCACACTTACCCCACGCACACCACACTCACACCATGCAGACCACAGTCACACCATGCACACCACACCCCTCTTACACCATGCACACCACTCTTACACCATGCACACCACACTCACACCATGCAGACCACAGTCACACCATGCACACCACACCCCTCTTACACCATGCACACCACTCTTACACCATGCACACCACACTCACACCATGCAGACCACAGTCACACCATGCACACCACACCCCTCTTACACCATGCACACCACTCTTACACCATGCACACCACACTCACACCATGCAGACCACAGTCACACCATGCACACCACACCCTCTTACACCATGCACACCACTCTTACACCATGCACACCACACCCCTCTTACACCATGCACACCACACCCCTCTTACACCATGCAGACCACAGTCACACCATACACACCACACCCCTCTTACACCATACACACCACACTCATCCCATGTACACCACACTCACCCCACACCCACCACTCACACACTCACCCCCACCCTCATACCACTCACCCCACACCACTAACCCCCACCACTAACCCCCACACCCCACACCCTCACCCCCAATACCCTCACCCCGATGTCACTCACCTTCGATGCCACTCACCCCCACACCACTCACCCCCACACCACTCACCCCGATGTCACTCACCTCCGATGCCACTCACCCCCACATACACACCATTCACGCCACACACCCCACATACACCCCTCCACACTCGCCCCTATCCTGCCCAACTCGCTGCTTTCTCCCGGAGTTGTGAGTTTGGGAGGGGCTGTGCCAGGTACTTTATAGTCTGTCTGGCCATGAATAGTAGTGACCACAGTTGAGATTTAAGTGACTGACTGTAAGATTTAAGTGACTTGGTAAGTATTAAGTGACTGACTGTTAGATTCAAGTGAGTGAAAGGAATAAGTCCAGGGCGAGAGGGGAGGGAGGTGATGGGTGGTGGCAGAGGTGTGATAGACATCAAACACTGTGTGTGTGTGTGAGTGAGTACAGTACCTAGGGATGACATATACAGTCCAGCACGAGGTGCACGGATGGGCAGGTGAAGCAGCACAGAGTGACAGCACAGACAGCAAGCTCTACTTCCTGGAGAAAGTGGAGCGGTTCGTCCTACTAACGTGGGGGAACTCCGTGTGATCAGTGACCATCTCAAACTTCGTAACGCTCGGAATATAGCCCTTTTTATTTTTTCATATTAGGCTCTTTTTTTATTAATTGTGTTTAGTGATTTTTTAAGGCTTAGGAAGTGTAAAATACCAGTTTACAAAGCTTTATTTTTGGCGGTGTTACGTCGTAAGTATACCATATATTTTATTAACTTTTATTATGGCTGGAGAGAGAAAAGTAACTGAGTAGTATGATATTGGTATGAGTGAGTGTGGTGAAACCTGTGCCTACATGTCAGAAATTTAGTGGAGGTGCGAGTGGCCAAGGGGACAGCACGCGCTAGTTATCCCATCCCTCCTTCCTGGTGAAGCCGGGTAACTCAGCTTGTGTGAGAGAGAGAGAGAGATTACATTATATATGTATGTTAAACACGAACAAGTAGAACCTTAACCCAACCACTACCAGTAAATATAAGACCATCTCTCTTTCAGCCACAAGTTATTTGTACATTATTACAAAAATAAGATTTAAACTCTTGTTATTATGACCCCCATTCTTCACAAATATCCTGAAGATACTTGTGTTTTCCTTTTTTGTTACATCATTGTTTGTTTGTGTCTATATTATTCTCGTTTATATCTATGAATGTATACTCATCAGTATGTTTAAATACGTGTGTTGATATTGCAGTGTGGATGTGTCTGTATGTATAACTATATATGATAGTGTGTGATGTCTGTTTATTTTAGGTATGAATCATTGTGAATATGTGCATACTGTCATTCTTGTTTTCGTTTATTATTTCACAATATATCCGTTTGGGCGATTGGTATGTTTTGTTATGTTAAGACTTTTATTGTCTAGTGTTAGTACAGGAGGATAACTAAAGTAGGCTACCTGGAGAAGCCCAGCGATGTTTGATAGGCTAACACCCTTCTCACATATCCCCCAGCTGGGGACTGAACCCAGGACACAATAGTAGATATACGTGTTACCATGTATTTGTACAGGAGTTGATTTTGTGTGTACTTTTTTATATGTATGCTCTTATGTATGTGTATTTATGCATATATTTCTTTATAGGTATACTTTTTTATTTACGAATCCATATGTGAACTTATACCTGTATATATTGTTCGCTGTCATATGTTTTAGCATATACCGCACGTGTGTATTAGTGTAGTGAAGACTAATAATGATACATTTAATAATGTCACTCGGGAGGTGACTGGGTTTGGCTGGAATGGTGTGGAGTTGTGGCGGGGCGTCTGGCCGTCGCAGACTGTTGCCAGGCCAGCCAGCCCTGCCTCCGGCCACGATTCAAATGTTAAAAACAAAATAACCGACACAACGTCTTTTCCTCAATACTTTACTGATATTTTAGGCTAAGTTTTGTAAATCTTGCTCTCGTTTTAAAAAATTATATATTAATAGTATGTTTTAAGGATAATTGCAATAATTGTTTTGACTATCAACATGTGGACTGCCAGACTTGTTATACGTGGGATGACACTACATAGCTCCTTCCTCCGCCCTGCTCTCTCTAGTACCCTCCATCATCCCTCTCCCTACCTTGTCACCCCACAGCCTGCTTTGCCTCCCCACAACCTCTATGTTACCCTCACTTTGTATCACCCCCACAGCCTGTATCTCATTTAACAGCCACCCCGTAGCCTGTAACGGTCTTCTCACAGCCTATACCCTTACATTTTTTAATTTCCCACAGCCTGTCTTGCCTTACACTCCTCACCCTGCCTTGCCTCCCCTCAGCCTGCCCCTATCTCCCTTCAGCCTGCCTTACCTCCCCTCAGTCTTCCCAGCCTCCCTCAGCCTGCCTTGCCTCCTCAGTCTCTCCCAGCCTCCCCGCCTGCCTTGCCTCCTCCTCAGCCTGCCTTGCCTCCCCTCAGTCTTCCCAGCCCCTCAGCCTGCCTTGCCTCTCCTCAGCCTGCCTTGCCTCCCCTCAGCTTGCCTTGCCTCCCCCCAGTCTCCCAGCCCTCCTCAGCCTGCCTTGCCTCCTCAGTCTTCCCCAGCCTCCCCTCAGCCTGCCTTGCCTCCTCAGCCTGCCTTGCCTCCTCAGCTTGCCTCTCCCTCAGTCTTCCCAGCCTCCCTCAGCCTGCCTTGCCTCCCCTCAGTCTTCCCACCTCCTCAGCCTGCCTTGCCTCCTCCTCCCTCAGCCTGCCTTGCCTCCCCCTCAGTCTTCCCAGCCTCCCCTCAGCCTGCCTTGCCTCCTCAGCCTGCCTTGCCTCCCCTCAGCTTGCCTTGCCTCCCCTCAGTCTTCCCAGCCTCCTCAGCCTGCCTTGCCTCCTCAGTCTTCCCAGCCTCCCTCAGCCTGCCTTGCCTCCTCAGCCTGCCTTGCCTCCCCTCAGCTTGCCTTGCCTCAGTCTTCCCAGCCTCCCTCAGCCTGCCTTGCTCCCCAGTCTTCCAGCCTCCCTCAGCCTGCCTTGCCTCCCTCAGTCTTCTCAGCCTCCCCTCAGCCTGCCTTGCCTCCCTCAGCCTGCCCTATCTCCCTTCAGCCTGCCTACCTCCCTCAGTCTCCCAGCCTCCCTCAGCCTGCCTTGCCTCCCTCCCCGTCTCCCAGCCTCCTCAGCCTGCCTTCCTCCCCTCAGCCTGCCTTGCTCCCTCAGTCTTCCCAGCCTCCCCAGCCTGCCTTCTCCCCGCCTGCCTTGCCTCAGCTCCCAGCCTCAGTCTCCAGCCCCTCAGCCTCTTGCCTCCTCAGCCTGCCTGCTCCCTCAGCCTGCCCTGCCCCCTCAGCCTGCCTTGCCTCCCCTCAGTCTCCCAGCCTCCCCTCAGCCTGCCTTGCCTCCTCCCTCAGTCTCTCCCAGCCTCCCTCAGCCTGCCTTGCCTCCCCCCCAGCCTGCCTTGCCTCCCCTCAGCCTGCCTTGCCTCCCTCAGTCTTCCCAGCCTCCCCTCAGCCTGCCTTGCCTCCCCAGCCTGCCTTGCCTCCTCAGCCTGCCTTGCCTCCCCCAGTCTTCCCAGCCTCCCTCAGCCTGCCTTTGCTCCCTCCCTCAGTCTTCCCAGCCTCCCTCAGCCTGCCTTGCCTCCCCTCAGCCTGCCTTGCCTCCCCTCAGCCTGCCTTGCCTCCCCTCAGCCTGCCTTGCCTCCCCTCAGCCTGCCTTGCCTCCCCTCAGTCTTCCCAGCCTCCCCTCAGCCTGTCCTTCCTTTTTATCAGGAACATTTTCTCCCCACAGCGGTGACCAGTGGGGTGAGGATCCTTGGACCAACGCTGGGCTTCGTGCTGGGGTCCTTCTGCACCAGGCTCTATGTTGACCCCGTCGCTGATCCTGGCATTGACCCCACAGACCCCAGGTGGATAGGGGCCTGGTGGCTAGGTGAGTCTCTGATATAGTGAGTTATGAAAATAACTCAATGGTAAGTACCTGCTGATTGCTAGTTGGGATACGGTAGATACTTACCTGGTTGATTAAAATTCTTGGCTGATGACAGGTTGGGGTACATTCCTGGCTAGTACTTCGATGATGATAGACCTCAGAATAATGCTAGATGAAGTAGGTTCTTGCTTGGTAAAGTGAGATAGTTCCCTGGCTGTTGGGAAACTGATATAAACCTATGACCAATGGCTAAGTGAGGTCGGTCCTTGGTTAGTGCTTAAGTGAGGTAAAGCCTTAGTTAATGCAAGTAAGGTAGGGCCTTGGATAATGGCTAAGTAGGCCTGGATAATGGCCAAGTGAGGTAGGGCCTTGGATAATGGCCAAGTGAGGTAGCCTGGATAATGGCCAAGTGAGGTAGGTCCTAGGTCAATGGCCAAGCTGAGATTAGTTCCTTGGTCAGTACCTGGTAGTGCTTAACATCACACGCAGTATAATACTGCATGCAAACTTTGCATATAAGGCATAATAACCTGAAACTTGATTACTGTACTAATGAATATAATTTTCTTGGACATTGTATGCAAGGAAAAGGATACAGGCATTATGATGGATCAATCATTGAGAGCAACTCAACAAGTGGAGGCAGCAATGAAAAAAGTCAATCAAACTGTAGGGATCATAAGTCATACCTTCAAATATGAAGATAAGAGAATGCTCCATGAACTGTATCTCTTATGCCCTCATCTGGACCACTGTACAGTATATACTGTACAAGCTTGGAGACCTTACCTCCAGAAAAACTTAACATCCTTAGGAAAGTTGCAATGCATAGCACTAGGATCATTCCTGAACGAAATTGTCTCAATTATCTAAGTAAAGAGAGGTTCTTAGGAGTACTGTAACAACTTTTCAGACAAGATGTGACAGGGCAGACTTCAAAAGAGAAATTAAAATTTTAAAAGGAATGGAAAACAAAATCTGAAATTTTCTTTGAGATGTCAAATGCCACAAATGCAATGCAAGGGGTATATCAGCACACGTAAGTGTGTATTTTATATTCGAATCAAATAAAACCTTCTCTGACATGAGGCCCTAAATCTGACTTCACTAAAGCTAATATCCCCTTAGGAACACTGACCAGCTTTAAAAATGAGCCGTCTCCAGAAGTTTAATCAGGTAAGCATGCATCATTTGCTCTGATGTTATGTCCTCTATCCTGTTCATTAATGCCCCTTAAATGATAATTTGTTTGAGGATTTCTGTCTCTAGGTAATTTATACTTTTGAATGCATTGTATATAAATAAAATACCTATTTTTATTATTTATTATTTTTAGGATTAATGGTGGTGTCAGTGGCATTATTTCTGACTAGCACCGCCATGTTTGCCTTCCCTCGTCACACCCAGTACAGCACGCTCCAGTATCCAGCCACCACTCCGCACCCCTTCACTAAAAGGTATCTTTAATTCCTCCAGAATACTCACTGTGGTTTGATATATCATAGTTTCCAAGTCTTACCATTGAAATTGCATACTGTATCATATGGATTTAGCCCTTATAGTTCTTTGGTTTTTACAGACTTCCTGAAAGCAGTTTGGCGCCTTTGAAGAATAAAATTTTGATATTCCGGACAGCTAGCAGCGTTTTACACATCCTGCCTATTGCAGGTCTTTACACTTTCCTCCCGAAATACTTGGAGAGTCAGTTTTACTTCCGTCCACAGTCTTGGCTTTAGTCTCTGGTTTGTGAATGAATGTCGTGCAATTTGTATTATGTGGTTAAAATTGTCTAAAATATTGTATTTGAATGATAAGTGACTGTACTGCTTAATAATTTAATTTAGTAAAATTTTAATATACAGTACTGTACATGTATTGTACTTTTGAGCTCTTGTCTGTTATCATTATAAAAACCATGAACCCCCAAAGTGCCTCCTATTGTCTATGCTGTACTGTACTGTACACTCATATTTCCAGATTCGAGGGCAAAGATAACTTGTAATTAGAGATTTAGTACAAACAAATCTTACTAAAAAGGTATGGTTAGGGAGAGTAGGAAAGGGGTTAATGTACTGATTTGTAATGAATTTTGTGGAAACTATAGTCATTAAAGTATATGTTGTGATTGGCTATGTGTTTTGCATAGATGTAGGGAACATATCTGAGAGGTATGGACTGAGGTTACAGGCATTCAGATGTTGGTACAGTGATCCCTCGGTTATGAGCACCTCGGTTATTAAAGATTTCGGTTAACGATTTACCTTCCATAAGATTCTTAACTTCGGTTAACGAGTAATCCCTCGATTAACAAGTTTTTACTGAGCCGACTTCAACATGTTTTTGCTTGCATTTGGCGGTCCACCAGCTGTAGTATTAGTCCGCCAATACAGTAATCGGTTTTAGGGCTTAAATTCCTTACTATTTTAGTAAATATCAAGAAGTTTATACTATTCAATAATTTTAAAAGTGTAATATTAACTTTTTAGTCATTTTAACAATTATTGAACATAATTGAAGGTAAAAGAAACTAGTTTCTGGCATGCCATCCAGCCTGTTAACACACCAGACAGGCGTTAGTCTCTCTCTGTTTTCAGTGGAGGTAACATGTTGCTTGAGACTCTCTTCAACTAAACCTTTTTTTCTGTGTTTCCAAGCAAATTATTGGTCATTTGAAATTTATTTTACATATTGACAATATATAATGCAGTGCAGTGTTGATTTAAAAGAAAATAATCTTGAAATACACCAAGAGAACTAAAATTTTATGGGTGAAATGGTGCCATGGGGTGACTTCTCTTCCACCCCAATGCCTTCTGTTCTTCCTTCTCCTCCACCCCATTCTAATTCCCATCATCATCATCATCATCATCATCATCATCCAGGAGCCTTCTACTGTACATACACCTCAAAGTAAGTGTACTTTTCTACCTTTTTTGTTGAATTTAGGCAATTTTCGGTGAGCTGGAACCAATTACCCAAAAACCCATTGAAACAATGGTTTCGGTTAACGAGTTTTTCGGTTAACGAGCAACCTGCTGGAACGGTTATTATCTCGTTAACCGAGGGACCACTGTACTGTACTTTAAATTTCCCTTGTAAAGGAATAAGATTATGCATCTCATAACTGTAAGGTCTTAACACAACCTAAATGACTCGGTAGTCATTGCCTAAATACTGTAACTTAGTAAGCCATATATATGCACTCATGTTTTAAGAAAATTAAATATTATGAACTGTACTACCTATGAGAATCATAATCCAACACCTAGGATTACTCATTATATTAAATTACTTATACTGTAGTTCTTTCTCTTATGTGTTCTTTAACCCTTAAACAGCGGCCATAATCAATGGATGCTATCTGTAGGGGTGGCAGCCATCACCAGTGGACATTTCATGTTCCTTACATTCCCTTTTTTATGCCTATGGGAGCAGAGCAGGGAATCAACACAGTAGTTGTGAGTTAAGGGATTCCTGCTCTAGTTTAATAAAAAGATATGCATTTTTTGTTTTTAATTGATTTTATTTCCTTGCAGGAATCGGAGGTATTCTGGTGATGGGTGTAGGCATCTTTGCTAGTGGGGTGTTCATCAGGCGAGCTAAACCCTCAGCCCGTACTGTTGCAGGCTGGATTGCCCTTACAGCCCTCATCTACTCAATAGGTACATTTTTGTGCTTCATAACTTTCGTTGCTATGTTTTTTAGGTGTGCACTGTACAGCCAGCACCTGTGTAATGTATAGTCAGCAAAAAAATTCTGTACTCCTTGGTCTGATGGCATCTGCAACGATCACTGACTAAGGCCATGTTAATTTGGTAAGGTTGGTAATTTTGGTTGTGTGATGCATTGTACAACCAGTATGATGTCTTTTTTATTATCACTTATAGTTAATACAGAGAAATTAATAGGAATTACCCACGTAAATGCTGTTCAGAATTCTTGGTCCGGTGTGTCATATTGTAAACACCATAAGGTGCAGAATATTTTTTTGTTGACTGTACATGATAATGTTTCTAAATAAAAAATGCATTATAAAATGATATATTGTACTGTACATTGCAGAACATTTGTCCAGGTTTTCCCTTGAATTACCTTTAATAATGATAGAATGAAGAAATACTGTAGGAGTAATAAACTTTGACAAATAAAATAGTATACAAAAGGAATGATGTCATGAACAGAAGATACAAAGGGTAAGTGTTGGTTTAGATGCAAACCTGAATGTGTTAAAGCATTTTGAAAAGATAAAATGACCTGTGGTTAGCACTAGTGTCCTAGGCTCAACATTTAACATACTGTATTTTCTTTGGCACAGTAGCAGTGTGACTGAGGAATGTTCTATAACATTCTCCCTAATTGTATATGATTTCTTACGAACAACACATTCTAATTTTTCCTCCTGAATGATTCCTGCCAGCTCTACAGATAATACAGTATCTCAGTTTCTTGCCTTAAAATTATTGTATCCACATGAAATGCTGGATTTGATAAGTAACTACAAATAAGAAGAAATTATTGCTTGGAGGTATAGGAGCAGCTCTCATGGGGTTTTGAGAGGATTACACTGTACAATATTTTAATTTTCTCATCACAGTTATGGCATGCCTCTTCCTTTGAAGTGCAAAGACATAGCTCATCAACATGCATAATGTTGATCAGCTATGTCTTTGCTCAACTGCAAACCAAAAAGATGGTCTACTGTCCTAATGCTGTACTTGCCAGGCATCCACCAATTAGGTGCATTGAGGACAGGGTTCACTTTTGTCAACTGAGAGTGAACAGACTATAGTCCTTGATTCACTTGGATTGATTCCACATACAGAAGAGTCTGACTAACATACACATGGTGTGGGCATGTCATGGTTCAATAAATTTCAAGGTCACAGCTGTATTTGTTTTTGCATTATTACAAGACAAAGTGAACAAATACAAATTCAGATGCTTGTGTCAGAGGTCAGAGTACAATACTGTATTTATCATAACTTGGTCAAGATCACAGGAAGGTCATAGGTCAAAACCTCTAGAGAATACTACTTGATTTAATAAAGATATTTTGATGAAATTTATGTAAGCACATAAGTATCCAGTATGTAAAAAACGAAAAATGTGCAGACCTACGTGGGTAGGTCATGGGTACACAAGGAAATTTGTGCCATTAATTGCCACACACACACTGCTTGCAGTTATGAAAACTGTCTCTAATCCACTATAAGATTGCCCTTCCAGTTTCATATTTAGCTATTCGCATGGTACATTATTAAATGCCTTAACAAAGTCGAGGTATATATTGTCAATATTGCCACCCTGTTTCAGAATCTGTGTCCACACATCCATCGTTGAATAAAGTAGGAGAGTCCGGGCATAAAACCATGCTCACATTTCTTCAAGGTTGTTCGATGATAGATGATCCATCACAGCTTCATATATTATGCTGTTTAGTACTTTATGCACTATGCATCTGCAAAACAGGATTTTAGGGGTTCTGTGAGTTTGTTGCATAACTTCCTTAACTCTCTGGGGTTCACACTATCAAGGCCATGGTTAGTATGAACCTTAAGCTTTGATGATTTATTTCTAATACACTCTACTGAGAACTCGTTGTACATTAGTACTGTGTCAAACTGTTTTTCTCTAGCTCAAGGGGGTTGTTTGCATCCTCTTGTGAACACTGAATAAATACAGTCAACCTGCTTACGGCGGTCCCACATTCCGCTTTCCGTTTACGGCGATTGCCCTGCCGAAACCGAATGCTCACATTCAGCGATGCGTGTACCCCCTTTACGCAGAAGCGGCTGGCGAGCAGCGCCCATTTTGGATCAAACCTCCCGCCATCTCCCGCCCTCTCCGCCATCTGCCATGTTTGTATGCGTAGCGAGCGAAATGCGCCGCGACCTGACACGCATAATACCTGATTCAATAATCCTCTCTCCTTACATGAAAATGAAACCTTTTCAACCCCTCCATTTTCAGTTGCTTTCAGACTTACTTTTTAATATGTACAGTACAGTACAGGTATTTGTATTCTAATGGAAAAACAACTTTACAGCTTACCTTTATGAGAAAACTAAAAAATTTTGTAGGATGGTCTTACCATTATGGTTAGATGGATGCTGTACAGTTCATGTTATGTCTTGATGAATTTTAATGCACTATACAGTATGCCCGGATAATTGATTTCTATTTCGCGGTCCTCTATTATTTCACGGATGACAGCTTGGATGTACCCAAGACTGTCTGCAGGTACTGTAGTTTTAAAGTTGCCGGCATTTTTCTGGGCCGGAACAGGGAGCCATTCGTTCTAGAGACAGTAATTTCCTTTACCTGTATTGTATATGTACTGTATGTGTGTGTGTGTCTACACACACATACATACAATACAGGTAAAAGAAATAATTGTCCTGTGGTAAATAAAACACTTGGTTGCTACATCCAAGCATTATTTGACTCATTTCACTACATATCTGAAATAACACAAAAGCAAATGTAACAATTCAAAGAGGAAACAACAATGAACATAATATAACATGGTGGTTTTATCCTGATAATGAAATAAACTAAAATGATACTTACAAACAAGAACAAAATAATATTACAGTATTTTCCATAATGATATTTTAAAAATATCACATATCCTAAGGACAAACAAATAAAGGGAATACAGTATACATTTCTTTATACACAAGTAAAAATGTAACAACAACACCCCACGAATTTGAAGGGTCTACTGTACTCTATAATGTCCTTTGTTCAGTGGGGCATCCGTGTCAACAGACACATTTTTATTTTTCCACATTTTGATTGGAATTATAAGTATGGTAAACTGGTTAAATTTTTTAAAATGTAAATTCCAATGATGGTTTACATACTATTTTCAGGTATGGTGATCTTGATGTTTGTGGGCTGCCCTCCAGAGGACTTTGTTGGTCTAGTGGAGGATGCAAGGTAAGCATTGAGACAGTTGCTGTAACTAGTGTTCCTTGTAGGTGAAGCTAGTTGTGTCCTTTCCACTTATCTTCTAGATGTTTTGGAAGCCCTGTGGAGTAGAAAACATGCTATTGATAAACATACCCACACATTATCATTGTCTGTTCCACTTGACTGATAATTTATGAGATTTACTGCAATAACTTTCATGTGCAGTCCCCTTCGCTACTGCATTTACAGGGGCTCGTCATTTTTTGTGCAGTGTGCCAGCCCTGTGTTTGTGTACATTTGACAGAAGGAAACTCACAATAGTAAACATACTATGGAATCAAAGTAAAAAATATTAAAATAAATATCTCATTGTAATGATTTGTGATGTTTTTAAATATATGTACTAGAGATGTGGGTTTTTACCTCCTGCCAAAATGGATAAAAATGTTTAGCTCGAGGAAAATTTTAGTATTGGAAATAAAAAACTGTAAGGCAGGCTAAGTTTAGGTAGCGGTGATGAGGAAGCTGCTGCTTGCTTGAGAAACTATTTTTTTCTCTATAGCTATTCTCGGCTAAATTAGGGATGTGTCTAATAGGGTGGAAATACTGTACTGTACTTCTGTTTTAATAATATGGTATTGTATGGAGGCATTAAGAAATAATACAGTATTTACTCCTTTTTTATTCAACAGTGGGAAACACTTCACCCCAGTGTGCAACAGGACATGTGGAGATTGTGACGCCACCACTTTTGCCCCAGTGTGTGATAAGCATGGCAAGACCTACTTCTCCTCCTGCCATTTGGGTTGTTCCAATGCTACTCTTTTTAAGGACTCTAATCAACTTGTGGTAGGAAGTTAACTCTTCTCGCACTGCATCATTATAAATTGCTGGTGAATGAAATAATGTATTGTTACCTACATTTGTGTACCTTTATACTCAACAATGGATCATTACCGGGTGGTAATTTTTTGTCATTTAGAGAATATTCCTCTACTGATATTATTTTGGAGCTTTTTCAGTCCTAATACTGTATACAATTTGTATTTTCACTTTAGTTCTCCAACTGTGATTGTCTGGAGGAGGGCGAGACAGCAGTGTTGAGACTGTGTGGGATGAAGTGTAGCAACTTTGTCTGGTGAGTTTTGTAGCAGCAGTTCCCATAATCTTCGAAAATATCTGCATTATGGGAATAATTAATCAAATTTATTTCAGAAGTATCTAAATTAACATATAGAGTTCTGGTGCAGAATGGCTACTTAAAATTTGCAACTTTTTACTAATTGTAAATGATAATAGCCAATATTTTATATATAAAAACTACTCAGATATACATGAAAGAGAATATGTGATTTAACCTCTTTGTGGATATACTGTACATGTGTATACTGTATTTACCTTTATGCCTACATGTGTGGTACTGATATATACTCCTGTGAGTTTGTGGTACAGATGGATGTGCCTGCAAGTGTGTAGATCATATTGCAGGGTATATAAGTACTAACTAAGTAAGAACTAAATACTGTATCACACAAATAGAGAAAATGCAGAGTAGACTAGGATTATTAAACAAGAATCATTGAGAAAGAAAAGGGCTAAAAATGTTAATTAGAACCAAAATTATGATAAAACAACTATAATCTCAAGGAATTTAAACTATGGTTACTAATACACTCCACCATACTTCCACAGGTACGTCATCATCTTCTCTGTGTTTGTATTGATACATTCCACGTCAGAGGTGGGCGGTATGTTGGTTACTCTCCGCTGCGTAGACCCTAAGGACAAGGCCATGGCACTTGGCCTGATATCTGTTGCTATTGGTTTATTAAGTAAGTTTATCGTATACAGTATTCAACCTGAGAGGAAAATTTGGAGGTACAATATACTAGAGAGTAAAAGTAAATTTACTAAAATAAGAGGCATTTTCAGTTGTTTATAGATACATAATTAAAGGTTTTACAGAGAATATAGAAGGACTGTTGAGGTGATACTAACACGTAGAGAAAATGATGTTTGACTTTTTTTTTTCAGGACAAATGTTGTAATAGTTTAGGGCAACTTACAATTCAGATTAGTAGCCCAGCCACCAATATTTGGGGTCTGCTGGGTCTAGTTCTAACAAGCAAAGGTGATTGACCATCACAAGCTGTCCAGTGGTTGGCCAAGAGGTCATAAAAGATGAATTTTAAAAAAAATACTTTCCACAAAATTAATTCATATTAAGAGGATACTTTCCACATACTGTATTTTATATGCAGGCATTACTTTTTGAGCATTGTAATGCATGGCATTCTTCAAGTCACCAGAGCATCCAGTCTTACCCAATATATATACGGTAATGGGTATATAATACCATTTTTATTATCCCCAAACATTGATATTTTCAGGTAATGTGCCATGCCCAATAATATATGGTGCAGTAGTTGATTCTGCATGTATTCATTGGAAGGAAACATGTAGGAAAGCAGGTGCCTGTCAGCTTTATGATTCTGATGCATTCAGGATGTTCTTCCATGGTGAGTACTGCAAACTGAAGATACTAACATCAGTAAGACAACAAACAAGTGTGCTAGAAAAAAAATATTTACTACTGGCATTATGGTTAAATTTTTACAAGATGACAATTGAATTATGATATACAGTATTCATCATCGGTTCATGAGTGTTAAGTGATGATTATTGTTAGGACAATAGAAGGCTTTATAGAATATAATGTGAAGGCTGATAATAGCAAGTTAATTGAAAGAGGTTAAAAAGGGAAGGGGACCTGCGAGTGGTTTGATAGAGCTTGTGTGTTAAATATTCATATATCACTGGGCTCAAAAAATCCTGCAGTGGCCATAGAAACCCACAAATACTTAACTCTTTGGACTACTTCTTATGCATTTTATGTAAGAAACTACTCTACCACTTGGGCCATTACTCACATGAAACATATCAAGTGTCTGTCAATTATTATTTTTTTTTTTTTGGGGGGGGGTTCAATTCAATCATTGTCTTGTATTGTACAGTACTGTATATCCTTTTGTCTTTTAATTGTTTTCCAGTTTAAAATTGCCAATAAATCCCCCTATTACTTACTAATCCGGTATCATTTATATGACCAATAAAAACAATGTCGTAGTCTTTAATTCAAGATTTCATGATGAAATATTATAGATGTTAGCTAAGCATTTCATACTGTTCACTTTGTTTCAAATCTTATCCAGTTTCTCATAAATACCGGTATAAAATTATTATTGTACTGAACTGAATATGTTTCTTATCATATGTTTATTAAAAAATTATTGTTGTGGCATTTTAAGACTTTTAGTGTTCTCTCTTTCTTCTTAGGGACATTTCTCAGATCTTGTAGTGGATGTCTATGGGAAAATGTGCATCGATTCTGAAAAGTTTTTAGCGTACAAAACTTTCTTAAAAATATGGGTCTACTTTTACCTGTAATTACAAATAAGTTAAGGTGCTGATTAATAAAATTTTTCTTTCTTTTTTCTATCAGAACTTTTTTTTTTTCAGGCATGACAGGTGCTGTTATGATGTTAGCATTTTTCGTGGATGTGGTGGTATGGTACATGGCAAAATCTGTATCCTTCAATGACGAAGATGATAATCCAGAAGAGGAAACTCCCATGAATCCAAAATCTGTCTCCCTCCCCATCCACACCCATGGCAATTGACCCATCTACACTCCAAGAGAGTTTACCTATGCTCTCTCCAAGTGAAGGAGATCCCTCAATCAGTCAGGAAAGCCAATCAAGTGTGTGAGAATGAAAGTATTAGATCAAATATGGCATGTGCTTGTCATGTGATTATATTCTTACTACTTCTGCACTGTTTTTGTAATTCATCTCTCTGGGTATGAAAATTTAATCAAACACTCATTCCATGCCAACACTGTGCCACAAATATCTTGGGTTGTATTTTGGGGTTTATAACTGAGCAAGAAAAATTATTAATGTTGATACTGCAGTAATTACTTTTAATGTATCCATTTTACTGCTTTGATAGTAGACTAGTCTTCAATTTTATACTGAGTTACTTGTGTGATGGCTGCTTCCAAATCCCAGTGTTTGGTCAGGCTTGAGCAGCTTTTTTCCATATACATTAACAGTTTGGTAAGTGGAGACTTGTCAAAATCTCACTTGATCAGCACAGCAGGATACAAATTTGCCTTACATTGTATTGGACTAAGAAAACAGTGTGCAAAAGGTGAAGACCAATCCTCTGAAGTGCAAGTTAGGTTGACAAATTCAGTTTATAAAAATATTTAATAATTTATCAAAAGGCTGAAGCTATTATACTCACTGTCCCCATCACTGAAAAGTTGGAGGAGTATATGAATCTACAGTTGGTTATTACATGTGAACTGTACTTACTGTTTAGAAACTGTTAGTGTGACCAGTGCTTTCATAAATAATTAAAGATGTCTTGAGAAAATGTGACTTATTCCGATGCTAATATGTGCATTGCTTGTTTGTGATATTTGTTCATCTTGATACTTTGGTGCGTTTTAAGCAAATTATTATTTTTGTAAAACTTTATTTTTTTAGAAAACAGTTTTAGCATATCAATTGTAAGATTCTTTATGTTAATGGAAGACATTTTCTAAATCTGCTAATGCCTTAGAATATTTTGAATATCATAATATAAATTATTTACTCTGCAGTACGACCTCGCAACAACTGGAACTGATAAAAGAACACTTAGAAATAGTTTCAAGTAGTTGTAAATATACTCTATTTGTGTACAGGCTGTATAAAACCTAAAATATTTGATATTGCTCAACAAGTGAAATAGATTATAAGGAATGCAGTATGAGAATTACTAGTCTTCTGGGGGCATTCCTCTGTTCCTATATTGTCTTTCTTAACCCCGGTCAATATGTTAATTTATGATAGCATATTTTAACATTTCTTTCATAAACAAGGTAATTTGCTAGAAGTAAATGTTTTATGCTAATTGTATTTGTTTTTGTTCTGCTTTCTGAATTGTTATATATAGCTGAAAGGGGTTTTTCACTCATGCATATTTTTAAGTAATAAAGAAATACTGAAGGCCTTGAATTTGATTCTTCTGTTTTTGCGAGGTAGTACTGTATTCAACAGTTCCAAGATGCCAATTTCCTATTCCCATTTTAAAATGAGTATTCAAAAAGGTTGTGTTAACCATATAGCATTACAGTTAATTTTTATGCTTTTAAAATTTAAACAGTAAAATTGAAAATAATGATTGTGTATGACAATTATTATTTTAGAGGAAATATCCTTTTATAATATGCATTTGCAATATTTCTGTACTGTGTGTTGGTGCATATGTGAAGTGGAGAGTACTGTACATGAAGGTGCTTAATGTGAAAAGAAAATTTCTAAGCAAAGATTTGTTTCCTACAAATAAGAAAATTACTGTACTCCTTTCTATGAGTAAGTCCCCTGCTTAAACTTAATAATTCTACTGTATATTTAATACAGGCACACCTCTTACAATGTTCAAGATCCACTCCAAAACAGAGAACTATAAGAAACTGCTCTGTAAGAGGTCAGTACAGTATAACATGGTCTCAATCGAAATGTCCGTGACACCACGATTTTTTTAGCCATGATCGACATATGAGAGCATCATTGGGTATTGGTTATAACACTAATAATGATACTGTTACAATGAAAGACAAAAGTCATGTGTGAAATTTTGTGAAAACATATGCGAGGGCTAAACTTTTGGTGAGCTCTGCCTTGTGGTAGGGGGCTCTCTTAATGTTTCACGAGTCATATTTAATCTTCGGAAAAAATCGTGACACGACTTTTGTCTTTGATTGTACATATTATATTAAATCAATTTTAAAATTAAAGAGATTAATTTTTAATAATGATAGACAAAAAATACTACAGTATACATTATGTATTCACCACTACATTCATTAGGAGGGCTGGACCACAGTCTTTCATTGCTCCTATCGTTCCAATCACATGCCCAACAGGATCTCCATCTTCTCTAGTAAAATGCTCCTTGAATGGGTTGTCTTGGTTGTTGTTAACCCTTTAGCTATGAAAAGCCAGTAATGTGGCCCACTATGGAAGCTGCAATAAGCTTGCAGGCTGCCAAGATTTTGACATCAATTTTTAAAATTGTGCACCAAGTGACACACTTATAGACTATGTCTCATGGGCCTCTAGATGCTGCTGCACCAGACCCAGACTCCTAGTCATGCCTCAGTACACACACACACAGTCATCATGAAGGAAGTATGTTCATCTCCATCTATTAATGACCCAGAAACATTCACTTTGTGCAATACCCAACTAAACCATATTGGATAAATTATTTATTTTATTTTGTTTCCTATTAGCCTGCATGTATATCTCCATTTTTACAAGATAAATATATGTCTTTTAACCCTTAGGCCCCAGGTGACGTTCCATAACGTCCGCCTATTTTTCCGCTTTTTTATTTATTTATTTTATTTTTATTTTTATTATTTTTGGAAAAGTTGATTTTTTTTCTCGATTTAACCCCATGGGAGGTACTGCCAGCAGCACCCTAACCCAGGGCTTAAGAACTCATTAATTTTTTATTATTTTTGGCCCCACACATCCTTGTGTAAGGTGAAGCGCAAGGCGTTTTACAGCGCCCAACAGGGAAGCATGCAAGAACTCATTTATCGTGAAAATTGCACATATGGTCTAAACCACCAAGAAGATGACATTCACCTCAACCAAGGTAGATTAATTCCTTCATTTCCCATTGGCCTGTACGCACGTCTTTATATTTGTAAGATTGATTTTTTTTTTTTTTTAGCACAAACCAAAGGGTTAACTAAGTAATGGCTTAGACAGAAACCCATATCTTGTTTGCATTCTTGAGAATGGATCTCATGGCTATTTTTACTTTTATCCTCTTCACCACTGATCGGCTCGTTGGCTGCTTGGGCGATCGGCCACGTCTCTGTTACGCACTGTTGGCAAGTACTGGGCATGCACCAGCTCCTGAATGTACCTGAACCTGCTCAGTGTTGGTCAAGTCTGGTCTTGAAATAGCTCACACTTGGTGCCGTCACAACACTTTCTGGCAGATTGTCTTATGAGCTACATTTTTTAAAATCCATATTGATGCTTTTTCCTTGACTGCTATGCCACATTACCTGCAATATCACTTGCAGGCATTTTTATAGACATTATGAGTTAAACGAAAGTTAGTACCATGGTGGAGTAAACAGATCTGCAGGAGTGGGATGAATTTAAAATGAGAAAGGGAACCAGATTTGCTGAGTGGCAATTGTTGTATGCCACTTATTCATTGGTCCCACAGAACCTTTGTACCAAATTATATTTGTTTTGTAGTAAAATCTTTCAAACAATAGGTGTTATAATGAAACAGCATTCTAAGAGGTGCACTGTATAATATTTTCCTCTGTTTAGCAAGGTAACCCCTTTAGCCTCTTCCATGCAACTCACTCCTTTCACAATTGTCCATTGTAATATCTTACTAAAATCCTTCTCCCTTTTCTTCTTTTTACCATTATCCTCAATTATAAACTTTCATCACCCACTTTGTATTCAACTCCTTCACAGCACAATATGACTACTGGAAGGTTACATCCAGCCCTTTTTCAGTTATATCTGTATTTCAAGTGTCTCTTTGCATTTTTCAGCCTGTTCAATCTTTTTAGTCTTTGTGTTTATCTTGTCACCCTGTTATTTTCCTATTGCACACCACACATTGCACTAACATGCAGCAATTGTATGAACTATTAATTTTAACCCTTAGGCCCCGGGTGACGTTCCAGAATGTCCGTCCAGCGCGCCCTGGGTGATGTTCCAGAACGCACGCCTATTCCCGCCACTGTTTAAATGCCCAGCATGGGTTATCAGATTCCAGTTTGACTATTTGCTTCTCACAACACACGCTCGGCCACAGGGAAGTTTCCTGAACATAATTACCTACTTTTGTTAGTTTTATTTTCATTGTTTGTCCATTTTATCATGTTGTATCAAAGTATTATTGCTAAAAGTAGTGTAGTTGTAATGTCGGGTAGTATTACTGTAAAACAATGCTATGATTATTATTAGTTTATGCATTACTTGCTCTACCAAACACAAAGACAGACTGGCGACCGACTGGTGAGTGTTGCCAAGCACATTTTTTATGATAAATTATGCAAATGAAATATTCTAAACTAATTATTTATAGCAAATAAGTATTAAGATCAATAAATACATACATTATTGGACCTTGGACACAAAGGCGAGCTAAAATAGCTGCTAAGTGCGTAGGACCACGGCGTCAGCTGTCAAACCAACTCTCCTTCTCACAACACACGCCTCGGCCACAGGAAGTTTCCTGAACATAATTACCTACTTTTGTTAGTTTTATTTTCATTGTTTGTCCATTTTATCATGTTGTATCAAAGTATTATTGCTAAAAAGTAGTGTAGTTGTAATGTCGGGTAGTATTACTGTAAAACAATGCTATGATTATTATTAGTTTATGCATTACTTGCTCTACCAAACACAAAGACAGACTGGCGACCGACTGGTGAGTGTTGCCAAGCACATTTTTTATGATAAATTATGCAAATGAAATATTCTAAACTAATTATTTATAGCAAATAAGTATTAAGATCAATAAATACATACATTATTGGCCACCTTGGACACAAAGGCGAGCTAAAAATAGCTGCTAAGT